AGGAGAATTACCATGAGTTCAAGGACAGCCTGGGCTACACAGACCGTCTCAAAAAAATTAAAAATTATAAAAAATAATGAAGAGAAAAGGTAAGACATTTTGCTCCAAATGTAATGATTTATTTTGAGAAGAAGGATACAGTGACTGAACTCATGCAAATGGCCTGCTAAGAGTCAGGTTGCAGTTTCTAGTGCATTCAAGAAAACCACAAAAATAAATAGAATTCTTAGAAAATCGTTTTCTCCTATTCATATTTATGCAATTGGTTCAATCTGTGATGCACAACATGGTAACTGTTAGCATGGTATGTGGCTGCCGAGCACTGGAAACGTGATTGCTTTGAATGAGATGTGCTGTAACTGTAAAATACAAACTGGAATTCAGACAATAAAAAAATTAAAACTTCCATTGACTGCATGTTGAAATAATATTTTAGATATATTGGGTTAAATATATTATTAATTTAATTTCATCTGTATTTTTGTTTTGGCAGTCCCCTCCCCTTTTCGATACCAAGACTTGAACTCAGGGCTTCACATTTGCCCGGCAGGTGCTTTGCTCTGGCCCTTGTTTTTACTTTTTTTTAACATATATTTTAGGGAAGGTTCTACAAGGTATTCAGGGTCTCATTACTAGATTGGACTCATAGTGATTCTCCTGTTTACAGCCTCCCAAGTGCTGGAATTACAGGCGCGTGCTACCACGCCCAGTCTCAATAGCCCTCTCAGCACGCCCTGGGGGCGGGCCTGGCACTGCAGGCCCAGGGATCAAACCCCTGGCCCTTGCACCTGCTTGCAGGCACTTTAATCCACTGAGCTATTTGGCCGGCCCTGTTTTTACTTTTTTAATATGGCTACTAGAAAATTTAAAATTATACAAGTAACTCACATGCTTGGATAACACTCATTAGTAAATACAAGGTGTCTGTGGGGGGATTTTTGGTGCCAATATTCAAGTCTTCCAGGAAGCCAGGGATAATTTTTTTTTCTTTCCTCAGATGGTGTCTGGCTAATGTTTCTTTAGAACATTTCCACTTATTCAACACTTTGGGTACCTAGATGAATGTCTCTTATCAGACACTCACTTGGTCAAAATGTGTAGAGTTTCAAGGACTTCTGTTTGGAGACAGGGTTGCCACTGTGTAGCTCAGGCTGGAATTGAATTTGTTATCTTCCTGCCTCGTCTGAGATTATCAGTTTGTGCCACCTCAGAATCCCAGGCTTTACTGAAGCAGTAGCATAACTAGTGTGGTTAGTCTTGCATGCAGTCTATGAATAGTACTAAAAGGGAAATCATGTAGTTTAAGAAATAGCAAATCAAAGTTTTACACAAAAGGACTACTGCATTTAATCAATTGTGGTTTGGCTTATTCTACAAAGTTTACAAAAAATTATTGTTTGACTCTGGACAAAATAATGAGTCTGATTCTTTTTCTTTCCAAAGTACCAGGCCTAGTATTGAACTCAAAGAAAATTAGACTCCACCCTAATAAAGGTGAATTAAAAATTACCATAGATCCCAGATAAGTACTTTATCACTTCATAGTTTTCCACTAAGTTTATTTTTCACTATTCTTTAAATGATCTATAGCACTTTATCTTTGATGATGTTGGAATTGAGTGTGATTAAGTTAAAGTGTAGAGAACACCTGAGGGGAGGGTTGAGAAATATTTTTAAATTCTTTGTATGCCAAGAGAAACTTAACTTCTATAAACTTATGCGCTTTGCATAACCACTCAGGTAAGCATTTAAGGCACTCAAGTTAGCCTGTACAAAAGAAAGGGGAAATTAGTGATATATCATCACTAAACTCCGCTTTTAGGAACTTTAATATAGGTGTGCCCTACTTTAAGAAAACTCAATAGGTGAATTTAAATGCATAAAGAAAAATCTGGGCATTATACATAAATCAGTTTTGATACATAGAAACATGTTTACATCGAAAGAAAACAGCCAAAGAATTGAATACATATTTTGCTCTAGATCTGATGTTGACATACACCACTATGCCTACCTTAATGTTTTAATTTTGAGAAGGAATTTTCAGCAAATGAACTCATGCAAGATGGTTTGGGGCTGCTGCATTCAAGACTACCAGAAAAAATATATATAACTTTTAGAACAATCTCAGGTTGTCCGTCATTTACATCTCAGAGGTTGGCAGGGGTTACCTGACACTTCTGGATTGCTTATACCAATGTCCACTATGGCAGCCATTAGCCATATGTAAATTATAATCATTCATGATCTTCCATTTAATTTTCATTAATTCTACATTTGCCCAATTAGAGCTGAATTAGTGTTTGGCTACTGAATGTATTTTTTTCTACATTAAGCTAACTGGCATATATGGAGATTAACTGTTAACTAAAACCACTTTATTACTGATTCAGATTTTATCTACCTGACTAGTTATACATCCAAATAGCATATTAGTTGAGACATTTTATAATAACACTGATTTATAAAAATAAATGGCTGTCTTAGTGTTTGGGGCAAGTTGACACAATAGAAAAATATTAATATATTGGTATTCACTCACATACTGTTTATCACTGTTTATCAACATAATCCAGTCTATAGTAACTGTACCTGAGACTACATATTAGAGTGCTTGAGATTTTATTCTTTACAATTAATATTTTAATCAAAGTCCTAATGAAGAAGATCAGAAATTAAAGGATCTGGCACACTACTCTGAGCATCAGTAAGTTAAAGTCCAAGGCCAGCCTGCCTGAGGAACTATTTTTTCCTGCTGGCTAATGCTGTGGGACACCATTAGCATCATGAGGCCAATTCTATCCATACTGATATCTAAAATGACATGATCTCCGACCCTATGGGGGCTCATCATCTGCCTCAATACAGCAGAGCTAGCCAGATTATAGAAGTAAGCTCCAAGAATTCCACACCTGAGGGCAGAAGCAATTTATCTGCCCCTGGGTAAAGATTCTGGTAACCAGTGGAATTAGGCAAATGGTATAGCAATCCAGCTTGGCTGGCAAGGTTAGTTTGCCAACCAAAGACATGAGAGAAGTATCAGAATTAGAACCATTAAAAAAAAGACTCAAGGGGCCAGGGAGATGGCTCAGTAGGATAAGCGCTTGACTGGCAAACGCAAAGATCTGAGTTCAATCCCCGGTTCCACAAAAAAAAAAAAAAAAAAAGACTCAAGCCAAACATGCTGGTATAGGGCTAGCCAAATAGCTCAGCGGACTAAAGTGCCTGCTTAGGCAGAGTGCAGGGCCAGGGTTGCATCTCTAGAGTGACAGCCCCACCCTAGGGGCGCCCTGAGAGGACAATTGAGACTGGGCATGGTGGCGTGCGTCTGTAATCCCAGCTCTTGAGAGGCTGAACACAAGTGTATCACTACGAGTTCAAATAAATAAAAGTAAAAAATTTGGGCCTGGGAGATAGTACAGTAGAGTAAGTGCTTGCCTGGCAAGCACAAGGTCCTGAGCTCAATCCTCGGTACCACAAACAAACAAACAAAAAAACAACAAAGAAAACCCATGCTGGCACACATTAATAATCCCCCTACTCAGGAGGCTGAGGCAGGAGGATCTCTGTGAGTTCCAGGCTAGCCTGGGCTATATGGTGAGTTCAAGGCCAACAGGATCTGTATGGTGAGATTTTGTCTCAACAAAGTAAGACTCAGGTAAATTAAACTGCCAAATGGCCAAAAAAGTTTTTCAAAGATTTCAACAGCAGGAATAAATAAATTTTAACTAACACACTCTTACTTAAGTTTCTGTCTGGAGTTTAACTCTAAAACAACAGAATTAAATGACATTATATTCTTTAGAGTCCACAGTCTGATTTTACTACCTACATAACAGGGTACAAAGAAATTGTGTATGCTGAGGAATGCCACTAACTTAGATCCCAGGAAAAGTAGTTAATCTTTGTAAATAATTTTCACTTTTTCTCTCAGTAATAGAATTCAATTTCCTTTAACACTGTTTAGAAATACTGTAATTGCTTTTTTTCTGTTTTTTCCTTTTTTATTTAGTTTTTTTGAGAGTCTCACTATGCAGTTCAAGTTGGCCTTGAGCTCACTTTGTAGCCCAGACTGGTCTTGAACTTGCAAGGATCCTTGTGCCTCAGCTTCCCAAGTGCTGGGATTACACGTGTGCCACCACACCCAGCTCTTTGAGATAGTTTTGCTACGTAGTTCAGACTGGCCTTGAACTATGTAGTTCAGGTGGGTCTTAGCCTTGTGGTAATCCTCCTGCCTCAGCCTTCTGAGTGCTGGGACCACAGGCTATATATTTTGAGAAAACAAATCCATTGGCGCTTGGGGAGGCTGAGAACATAAACACAGAGCTGGGCTGGCCAGATAGCTCAGCAGACTAAAGTGCCTGCTTAGGCAGAACACAGCATGCCGTGCCGGCCCCGCCCCTGGGGCATGCTGAGATGGTAACTGAGACTGGATGTGGCAGAGTTCACCTGTAATCCCAGCGCTTAGGAGGCTGAAAACAGGAGAATCACTACAAGTCCGATCTATGTAGTGGGACCCTGTACACCCTGTCCTAAATTCATAAAAAAATGAAACAAAACACGAAAACAACAACATAGAGCTGAAGTTTTACTTTGATTAAAAAAACCCCAGCAGGCTGGGGAAGATACCTCAGCAGTATAAGCACCTGCCTGGCAAGCACAAGGACCTGGGTTCGATCCCCTGTACCACATGCAGTGCTGGTCCTGGAAGCCCAGATGTGCTGAGTGAGCCATTGGAACCAGGAGTGGTGGTACACACCTGTAATCCCAGCACTGAGACAGGAGGATCACTAGAGTCCCAGCCGCATAGCGAGACCCTGTACCAAATAAATAAATAAATGAATGAATGAATGAATAAAGTAATTAAAGTAAAAAACCCTCACAGCTAGAGATTCACTTGTATATATTAAAAAGCTAAAAAGACATGTTAAATGTTTTGCTCAATCTACAAAACAGCATGCCATACCAATTTTTAATGTTCATAATTTAGATTGTATCACATATTTATAAATATATGCTTTATTTGCAAATTATATTTAAAACATTTCCAAAACATTCTTAAGTGTTTTCAGGTAAAGAAATGCCACCTTATTTATAAAATATGCTAATAAACTTTAATGTATGATTACACCAATGCCACCAGGTTAGAAATGAAATATACCTATGTTGATGTAGTCATTACTATAAATACCACATTTTATACAATGATGAAATACATGGTCTTTTTCTACTTCTCAGTCATTGTCAGAACCGTTTGGAGGTAAGAAAATCAACGCATCACTGAAAGTATGTCCGAATGCCCTAAGACGGTATACCCCATACATCATCACATGCATTTGATTAGGAGTCAGTCCATTAAAAGTAACAGCCATATCAGAACAGCATCCTTCCACTACCTGGTTGGGGTGATTGCTCATTGCCTCTTTAATAAAAAGTCCCACGGACTTGGTATTAAATACATCTTTTCCTTCAGCATCTTCTGCATTTTCTGCGAATACTCCAGCGTACTTCAGGCAGACGGCTAGCTGCTTATCTTCAGATAGCTTCCAAATCATTCCTCCCTGTTCAGGACACTTTTCAGGGATATTCAGAAGGCTGTTAAGTCTTTTCATTGAGTCTATACTTAGGACAATTCCTCCTTCCACACTCACATATTCAAGGTCTCCAGATTTTATAGTGTGGCCTATATAGAAAGGTTGTGATGGATCCTTTTTCAACAAAAAGTACTTTAGATTTTCAATAATAGCAAATGTAGTGGGGCGTGCAAGGAAGAACCAGTTGTACTGGTCACTATACTTATCAAAGGCATATTTATAAGCTTTCCTCATCATTAGCCACATGTCATTTGTTTCCATATTAACTGACTCAAACACTTTAACATCTTCAGAGCTGAAGAACTCTGCTTTGTCACAGTGTTTGGTCCAAGTCTCCTTCACTGCAGCCCAAAGACTCACATCTTTAGGTTTCACAAGGATAATGCAGTATACACGAAAGCTCCTACTAAGCTCCATGCGTTCATCCTCTGAAATTTTCAAGATCTCTTCTTTATTAGGAGCTTGAAGATGATGATGCTCATGGTGGTGCATTCTGTTTCCATGACCAATCTTAATGTGTCCTAACATAGCGATCAAAGCATAGAAAATGCTTCCAAGCATCACACCCTTCAAAAATGAACTGCTTTCAGAAAGCATTTCTCCTATAAAGAAAACAAAAACTCTTAAAATACTTGGTATAGCTATTTGATTTGGTATTTCTTATACACAGTTTTTTTCTTGGTTTCTGTTCAAGTCCCTATGCTTAAAATGTAGTTGCACCTAGTGCCACTCTGAGCAAACAGGAGACAGGGCCTTACTATGTAGTACAGGCTGGCCTTACAGTTGTGGCAATCTTCCTGCCTCAGGCTCCCAAGTGCTACAATTACAGTGATATGCCACCACACCTGGCCAAGAATCTATCTTCCAACAGATACTGTCCAGGATAAATTATAATGCTGCAGAAGCTCCTCTGTGTAGTAGAATTTGCTGTGGGGAGGTTCTGCATTTCATCTGCAAGGACTTAATTAAGTACTAAGTCAAAGCACTAGCCCTTTAAACCAAAGTCAGAGGTTGTCCATCATTCTCTTTAAAGTGTTTGAACAAACTATCTCTTTTTTCTTTCTTGGTACTGGAGATCAAATTCAGGACCTTGCGCTTGCTAGGCTGGCACTTATGCCACTGAGCTATCTCCCTGGCCCTATAGTGCTTTGTAACACAAGTTTGCACTATATTATTTAAATACCTCTGCAAACAAATGCACTTCAATTAAAAATTGTAGCTGGGTGTGGTGGCACACACCAGTAATCCCAGAACTCCAGAGGCTGAGGCAAGAGGATGGTTGTGAGTTTGAGACCAGACTGGGCTACAAAGTGAGCTCAAGACCAGCCTGAACTGCATAATGAGACCCTGTCTCAAAAAGACAAAAAAAATCTGTATCTTTTGTGACTGGGTTTCACTACATAGTTGAGGCTGGTCTTGAAGTTACTTTATATCCCAGGTTGGCCTGGAACTCACAGCCATCCACCTGCCTCAATCTCCTGAGTGATGGGATCACAGGTATGAGCCACCACCCTGGCAACAAATGCATTTTAGAAAAAAGGCTTTTATCTTTTTTTTTTTTTTTTTTTTGGAGACAGGATCTCTTTGCAGTTTGGGCTGGTCTTGTGCTCACTTTTGTAGCTCCCAGGTTGGTCTCTAGTCCACAAAGATCCTCCTGTCTCAACCTCCCAAGTGCTGAGATTACAGGCCTGTGTCACCACACCCAGGTATCCAGTAGAGATGGCACCCCCGGGATCCTGGCTGAGACCACGTGTTATGTGGGGCTGGGGATTGAACTTTGGTCCTTGCGCTTGCCAGGTAGATGCTTATGCCTCTGAGCTATCTCTCTGGCCCCATATAAGGCTTTAAACTGAACAGATAAAACCACCTATTAATGACAAATTGCTAGTGGTATCTGTACTGACATTTCTCTTTCAACCTGCTTTATATAACTGGTAATGGGTTTAGTTGTTTTGAATACATCTAAATTGTTCCTTGAATATTATATATTTTAATACTTAACACTTTCATTGCTAAGATTGAGTGGTTTCTAATATAGTACCCCAACTACTAATGTAATAAAAGCCCATCATAAATGATGAAAGATGAGTTGATACAGGCATATGTGGGCACCATTAATGACCATTTTTTTATTCCCTCAAAAGGCATTTTTTCTTTGAGCAAGTAAAAGGGAAAAGTCTAAGCCTTTTTTTTTTACAGCTCAGGGTGGCCTCAAACTCACAGCGATCTTACTGCCTCAGCCTCCTACACTGGGATTACAGGTGTGCACAACCACAAGTGCCCAAGTCTACCTTTTGATTTTAATTAAAATTTAATAGTAAAGCTTCCAGATTAGTCTGTAAAGATACAGACCTTAGACTTTCAGATATACTATTGGCAATTATATATTCTACAGATGCATAAATGTAGGGGCTGGGGAGATGGCTCAGTGGAATAAGCGCTTCCCTGGCAAGAGCAAGGGCATGAGTTCAATCCCCGGTTCCACAAAAAAAAAAAAGGTACAGATGCATAAATGTTATCCAGTGTGTGTGTGTGTGTGTGTGTGTGTGTGTGTGTGTGTGTGTGAGAGAGAGAGAGAGAGAGAGAGAGAGAGAGAGAGAGAGAGAGAGAGAGAGAGAGAGGATGGACAGATAGACAGGCAGACACAGAGACAGCGACAGAGACCATGACAGACACAGAGACAAAGACCACCTTTCTTCCCCTGATGAGCTAGTGTTGTAGGATCAGTAAATTTACATTCTTATGTCACTTATTTTTTAGAAACAAACTCACATGCTATTCTGAATATGTACTCTATCCCCAAAATGTAAATTTCAACAGTTTTATCATTAATATATTTACCAAATACTGAACAGTATTGAGTCATTTCCTTATTGTTTTACACGAGCATGTGGCCATTTACACTTAGCACTCAGTGTTTTACAAGCCCAGGAAGAAAGAAAAGTATATTACAATTCAGGTTAGCAGGTAAAGACAGAACCTGATAGATCTCAGGAGAAATCATACCTAGTAGGTACATTTTGTTCAAGCAACATAGTGTTTTCAAGAATTACTTAATTCCCAGCATTAAACAATTGAATTTTTTTTATAAATCTAGATTTAGAGGTCTTTTTAATCACAAGATCTGCCTTACCATCACAGCACCCTGTGCTGAGCTGAGTACAGTGTCCACACCCACCACTTCCTTTAAATGAGGTGTGAACTCTGTTCTTAGCTTGTCTCCATTTTCTTTTTTTTGGTCTGCATTCTCTACACTCCCTTTCATTATTTCTATTACCTGCCTAATTCCTGCCAACATTTCAGGTTGCAATCTCTGACTTTCATGATTTTGTAACTTAACTATGTACTAAACTGGTTAAATAAAATTTTGTTTTTCCTGCTTCCTTTCCCTTTTACTGTGGAGCCTAAGATACTATGATTATTGTTTTTAAAATTAGAACATAACTTTTTACTCAATGGAATAATATCCATTTTTAAAATATTTTGTAAATTCCTATTTCCATATCATTATTTATCCCTTACTAGACAAGTAATTTAATCTTAGCTGATAAATGCCATCATCCTCAGATATGAAGATGATAGAGCTCAAGATCAAGAGACATGACCACTAACTTATGAAAGTGTTTGTGTGTGTACTGATATCTTGTCTTTTATTTACCTAAAAGTGATATCCTTATCTTAGTTTACTTATTTAATTTGTTCAATGATTTTAGAAATGATGGGCATGTTTGCTGTTGTTTATGTGGGAAAAATAGTCGTGGTCATATTTATCATCCAATGCAGTCTGAAAACAAAAAGAAAATTTTACCCAATATGGGACTTCCCTACTACATGTAGATACACTTGGTGTTAAGTGAAGGGGAAATATAAATAAAAATGCATTTCACTGAAAAAAAAAATAAAAGAAAAGCTTCCATTAAGTACAACTGCTCAAAAATTGTATGCTACATTTTTTTCTAGGAAAGACTACAATTTTCCTATCTCTCCACCTCCACAGCAACAAAAAGTTCAACTGAGCTAATTGTCTATTGAAGTTGAAAGCGGCCTTAGGAACTAATGCACTTTGTCTCATTTTACAGTTAGGGAAATGGAAGTGCCATAGAATTTAAGGAACTGACAAACTTATACACAGAGCTAGCCAGTGATAGAATTGGCTCAGAACTAGAGTAGTTTAATAGTATTCTGATTGCAGAATAGTAATCTACACAGTGCTTCTCCCATATTGAAAGTTGAGTAAAACAGTTGCCAATAACCTGACCACAGTTTTCATTTGCATCCTATCACCATGTGTCTACAAGAAGAGGAAATGGACTTTGACTTCTACCAGTAGAAGGTGTGGAATAGACTGGCAGATGTAATTCCTGAGTTGGGGATGGTGAAAGAGGCAGGATGTTGGTTTTCCGTAGTCCTAAGAGGAAAAGAGAAGGGATATAAAACAAGCCCAATTTAATAACAGAATTGCCAGGTGTAGTTCCAAATTAACTTATGCAAGGTTCTGGGATTTTACATTGCACAATATTCATCTCTGGCCAATATATAACTCACACATCTTTTCAATTGACTATGATTATGTACATTTGGGATTCTTTCTGATGAGGATACTTCTCTTGGCTGCAAAAGTATTGATCAAAATTGAAGAAATCAGGGCTGGAAATGCTGCTTACTGGTAGAATTCTTTTCTAGTATGCAAGGGGGGGCCTGCTTTCAATCCCCAGCGCAGGAAGGAAAAAAAAAACCCTGAAAAGGTCTACAAATTTCGCATAAAATCATTTACACAAATAATTCTAAGATTTTTTTCCCACCAAAAGTGTTCAAAAAAAATGAAACAGTAGGGGTACACATTATGGGATATTTTGTGCACAGCACAAGGGACCTTAACACTACCCGGAAGAGAAAAAATGCACAAGGAAATAAGACAGAAACTACCCAAGTGGTTTTTAGAGTCACCCTCCTAGGTGAAGGTGAGTGGGACGGATTATGGCAAAGGGAAGATGGCAAAATGAAGAGGGAGAGGGTGACCTCGTCACCTCAGGGTTCCACTCAGGGTCCAAAGTCGTGTCTCCGGCTCTCGGACAGCACCCCCTCATCCTCCCCCTGCACCAGCGGGGGCGCCCCGCAGGGAGCTCATAAGCCTTCCCTAAGAAGGGGTGGTGGTGCAGCTATTACGGGGTGCGACTGGGATCGGGACCACGGTGCAGCCACTCACCCGCCTTTCGAACGTCTCGGCGGAGGACACCGTAGCAGCGCGCAGCTTCCCTCGCCCGTTCGCGCACCGCGCTCCTGGGTGGGCTGCTCTAGGCGCAGGCGGTGTCCTCTCGCTGGTCTTGCTAAGGGTGGGAAGATCCCGGAAGCTGACGAGAGGCGGGCGGGGCAAAGGAGCCTTGGGTCTGGTTTAGGAATCCCCGCCCGCGCCGACGTGGAAACGATTGCGCGCGCGCACGCGGCGTGCCCTTTCGTCTCCCCCACGCGTGCTCAGAGACGCCGGCTGGGCTCGCGTGCGCCGCACGCTCGGGTGTTGCCTATGGCAAGCAGGGGGCCGCGCGTGCGTGCTTAGGAGTCGCGTTCACTTATTTGCTTTCCCAGCGGGGAAACTGCGATTCTTACCGTTCTCAGCGGTTTCTCTGCTGTACCAGTGTCTTATTTATTTATTTATCTATTTATTTATCTATTTATTTATTTATTTATTTATTTTGTATTGGGAATCAAACTCAGGACCTTGTGTGTATCAGGCAGGTTCTTGTGCCGCTGAACGATAACCCCAGACCGAAGCACACATTCTTGTGTGTGGGTGTTCGCTTGGTTTCATTAAAATAATATCTGAACCAGGACGTAGTGGTGCATGTGGTATAAAGCCAGAACTTGGGAGGCCGTGTAATATAGCACTACTCACTGAGATTTTGATCACATCTCCCAAAGATAATAAGTTGGTCATTCCTTTTCCTCTTCCTCTCTTCCTCTTTCTTCCCACTTTTTTCTGAGATAAAGTGGTCTTGCACTCACTATGTGCTCCAGGCTGGCCACAGACTTGCAGGTATCCTTCTGCATTAGCCTGACTGTTGGTATTACAGGCATGTACTAGTGCGCTAGCTTTTATTTGAGACAGATTCTTGCTATATAGTTGAGGCTGTCCTTGAATTTGCTATGTAACCCAGACTGGCCTTGAACTCATAGTAATCCTCCTGCCTCAGCCTCCTGAGTGCTGGGATTACAGTTGTGCACCACTCCACCTGGTACAGCATGCTAGTTTTTGAGATTTTGTTTCAGCAAAGCAAAATTAAAAGGATAAAAAAATTCATTGTATTTTGTTCAATATATGTGTGTACTGTTACAATGTAAATATATGAATTATATACATATACAATTAAGCAAAAATACTGTAGAATAAGCATATAATGATATTTTTGTGAAAACAAATGTTATGTATGTGTACACATTTGACCTATAGGTATAAGCAAGGACAATTTTGGAAGGTTACTACTCAGCAGGCTCTTAATTTTGATTATTTCAGGAGGTTGAGGTGAGGGTAATTCCTCTCTCTCTCTCTCTCTCTCTCTCTCTCTCTCTCTCTCTCTGTCTCTGTCTCTCTCTCTGTCTCTCTGTGTTTGTTTTAAGTGTAGCAAGGAGTGGTGATAGCCACCAAGGAAGTCCTGATGTACTTGTCAAGGGGAGCAGGCCATATATCCAGCAAGATTCCTATGCCCACACTAGAAAGAAATTGCTGTCTACTTTGAGTGGAAAATAATTAGTAAAAGGGCTAAGAGTAACATCTTAGATCACTTACCTGAAGATTTTGTTTTCTTCTTGAATACACATTTTAAATCTTCTGTAGGTTCACAGGAGTATTTGGTTGATGGTTCACATTCAGTGACAGTGCCTGGTTCCAAGGGCATGATGTAACCATGAATTCATGTCTGCTACCTTGACAGCTCTAGGTGGAGTTGACAGGATCACAGTGCATGATCCTTCCCAATTTGGTCCTAGGGAAGGAGATGATGAGGGGAAAGACTTTCCCAGTACTATGTCTCCAGGTTGGAATATGGAATTTCCTTTCTCTTTAGGCTGAGCTTCCATTAGCTGTTGAAAAATCTGCTGGAAGTTAGTCAGTGAGGAGTCATCTTTTAGTAGGCATCTGCTTCTCTTTCAAGGAGAAAAGCATGAATTAGAAAAGGGCACCTGTAAGGCACCTCAAATAGACTGAGGCCTAGAATGTGAGCTGTATTTCTTATTTTGATAAGAGCTAAAAGTAGTAGGTGGGGCCATTGTAGGTGCATTTCCTGAGCAGTTTTGCAAAGATGTCTTTTCAGGGTCTCATTCATTTTTTTGGTCTTTCCTGATGATTGTGGCCTCCAGCACAGCGAAAGTGATAGACAATGTCCATACTTCAGGATTTATTTTTTGCCTCCATACAGGGAAGGCAGTGTACTTGACCTGGGTACATACATGTTACAGTGTTTAAACAAGATAAAATCTCCATAGGAGGGGAATTGTTTTTTCAGGCATAACTATAAAGGAAGGAGTGAAGAAAAACCATTTTGGTCACAGCCTAAGAGTTGTACGAAATAGGGAGTTACTTCCTCTGCAGTGACTCCAGTCACTGAGGCATGCTGGCTGGAAGGAAGGCCAAGGTTGCAAAGCAGGCCAGAGAGACATGTACCAGTGTCGAGCAATAGACTGTTTTTTTCCCTCTCTAGTCAGGATTATCTGGCTTATCAAGGGAGATGACATTCTGGCCAAAAGAAGAAGGCACTTCAGTTTTGCCGGACCAGTTGATAAAATGGGTCTGATTCCTGGGTCCTTCACCTTAAAGGCCAATCTGACTTTCAGTGGTCAGATTTGCAGTCAGCGCATGGCCCAGAGGGCTTCTTGTCACAGTTCATCTTAAGGGGTCTGGCTTTTTGCAGTGGTAGCAGGTGAATTTATTCATTGAGCTCTTCTTGGAGTCCTGAGAATCAGACCTAGCATCTGTTTCTGTTAAGGCTGCTGCTTTCTCTTGGGCCCTCTGTTTTCTTCCCTTGTCCTCTTCCTGCTCTCAATTGTAAAATACTGAGGAAACAATCTTGTTTTTTGAAACAGGGTCTCACTATGTAGTATAGGTTGGCCTCAGACTCATGGTGGTCCTTCTGCCTCAGCTTCCCAAATGCTGGGATTGTAGGCATGTGTCACCATGCCCATTGGAAGCAATCTTTACTAAAATATCAAGTGAGCTTATCTGGAGCAAAATCCATCATTTTAATTTTTTTCTAATATGTGAGGCTGACTGGGTAATAAACTTATCTTTAAGAATAATCTGTCTTTGGGCTGGGGAGATGGCTCAGTGGAATAAGCGCTTCCCTGGCAAGCGCAAGAGCCTGAGTTCAATCCCTGGTTCCGCCAAAAAAAAAAAAAAATCTGTCTTTAAAAAAAAATAATAAAAAAGAATAATCTGTCTTTTAAAAAAATCTGTCCTGATTGAATCAAGAGCTGGGGATGTATATTTTATTAATGCCACTTGTAAATGACCTAAGAAGGCAGGGGATTTTTTATTTTTCTCCTGCTGAATAGCCAACAATTTAAACTAAATGAAGGGCTTAGTATTTCTCCTTCTTAGACCTTCAAGAATGCATACCTGAAGATACCTCCTATTCCAATCTCCCGTCTGGTTGGTAGGCCAGTAGGGATCTTGTGTAGCAACCCCTTGGGCTGTTTGTTCCGCTGTCTGCCTGTCTTCAGGCCTTCTAAAATTAACAATATGATATTCATCTCCAAATGTAATAGCAGCTTGTAATGCTGCTTGTCTCAGTAGAAGTCAATGTTTTATTTAATAGTAACATTACATCTTTCCAGTCTAGTTAATAGTTCTGAATGAGTCTGCTAAAGAACTCAAGGTACTTGTAAGGATTATCTGAAAACTAGCCATGCACACATAAGGAAAAGAACTGAAAGGAGATTGTCCTGAGATAAACCAGTTAGAAGGCAGTTATGTCTCTTTTTGCGGTATGTTAAGCACACATATTTTCAAGATCCTTGTGGACTACATTCACATAGTTGAAAGCATTAGATCATTTAGGTAGACAAATGTTAGTTGCTGCTCAAGTGTGGAGGGGAGTGGGAGTGGAGTGCAGGCTGGTTGGAGAAATGGAAAGTTAGGGACAATGAATGCTTTTAGATTTTAACTAGATATGTGCTACATAGGTGACAGTTGTATTTAAAAATGAATCTGGCTAAATTCCTAGGTAAGACTGAATGCTCAAAATTTTCTGTAAATTATAAAACAAAATTAAAAAGTTATTAAGAATATAATCACTGAGCTGAGTAGTGGAAATGATAGAATTTCATCACAACATTTTTTACTGTTACAGCTTGTATCTAGCTATCACCCCCAGAGTCTCATGCACTCATAGGTGAGGCTGTCCAGTGGCAGTTGGCTCTAGGCTGTGTGTATGTGGATTAAGGGTGTGCCATAACTAAACCAGTGCACTGTTTGATTTAACATAGTTGTGGGTATGGATAATGAGAAGGCCTCACTTGGTATGGGTGGCATCAACAAATATGCTTGAAACCCTAATGGAATAAAAAGGAAAGGAAGGCTCACTACTGCTGCCTCCTGCCTACCATATGATGAACTGTTGCTGCTCTGTCATGCCCCTCTACCAGGTACCACCCTGGCTTGGATCCTGCTGACTATGGATTGAAACCTCTACAAATTGTGAGCTAAATAAATCTTTCCTCCTTGTAATTGTAGCTGTTAAGGATTTTGCCCTAGCCATGACAAAATTAACTAAGACACTTACATTTTTGTGTATGTTTCAAAATATCCATAATTAACCTATGGGTGTGCTGGCACACATCCTGTAATACTAGCCCTCAGGAGGCTAAGGCAGGAGGTAGGAGAAAATTTGAGACTTGGCCTACATAGCAAGTTCTGGATCAGCCTGCTGTATGCAGTAAATCCTGTCTCAAAAGTCTCCGTAATCAAAAGTTTTTTGTACCTGTGACTGTGGAGATTACTCAAGAACTGGGGTGGATGAATGTCATATCAGAAAAGCCAGCAGAGAATATTTGAACAAAATTAGAGGAAATACATGAACTTCTGTAATGCTTCTCTAGTCAACTGGATTTATTTGAAGAACTAAGTGGTATGTAGATAAAATGTTCTGTGGCTATGTTATGAAACATTAAAAAAAAAAGTTTTAGCCAGGCATGGTGGCCCATGCCTGTAATCCCAGCACTGAGGCTGAGGCAGGAGGGAGGCTAAGGTAGGAGGATCACTGTAAGATTGAGACCAGCCTGGGCTACAAAGGGAGTTCAAGACCAGTCTGAACTGCATAACAAGATCCTGTCTCAAAAAGACAAAAAAAGTTTTAACAAGATTTCATAA